TTCCATAAGATCCAAGAGTGATCACCTCTGGAACATCAAAGGGGCTTTCCACCCTCAATAAAACTCTTGCCATTGTAAGGTCTTCTCTTTTCCTTGTACTCTCATGAATACCTACCACTTTGCCCCATCTCCCAGCCATTTTCTCGAAGAAATATTCATTCCAGCATAACAAAGGAACCCCTATTAATTCTGCCATGCAGAAGGCCATGGGAACTCCGGCCTCATTCAGTAAAGGTTCCACTCGTTCAAACCACTGTTTTAAAACCTCTTCCTTTTTGCTCCATAAATCCAGCATCTCTTCATGGGAATTGAGAACTAAAACGCAAGAGTTCCAAACATAACCCCATCTAGCAATTTGAACATCATAGCCTTCCTTAAATAAGGCATTCCGAATGAACTCAACTTGAAATGAGTATTTGATAATCCCTGTTAACGACCTCTTCACCCAATTGGCACTTTCTGATGGAATATGCATCTCCATAATGTTTTTCTTGACATTCCTCCTTTGGACATCCTCAGACAATAGTTCTTTGTACCCCCTTGTAATCCCATTTGACATCAGAGCATCCCTATAAGTTCTATCGTCCCTTCTACTTCTGATAATATTTTCTCTTTCTCTTGATTTCGAAGAATCTGCATTAATCTGACCAGAAGCCTCGTTTGAAGAAGTAAGCACCACCCTTGACCTTGAACGATCATCCTTAAATCTGGCAGGACTAACTAAGATCTTCCTTCCATCAATCACAACCCCGTTTAACTCATCAACAGCCCTCCTTAAATCTTCCTCCCTCTTAAAATGAACAAACGCAAAGGTGGAAAATCTGTACTTAGGATTTCTAATTTGATTGGGAATGAAAACTCTCATAACCGGACCATGGACTAAGAATAATTCCTTAAGAGTATGACGAGAAACCCTCCTACTCAGGTTGTCGATAAACGCCGACCAACACTCATCGGGAACTGACTTTTTTTTAAAATTCTCTCTCTCTACGTTTTTCTCTCTCGCACTCATGTTTTTTGCCCTATTTTTCTTTTTATTATCAAACAGAATACAAATCCTTAAATGATCCTATCAAACTAAAAAGTATTGAGGAAAAACCCAACAAAACAAACCTACGCCATTTAACATCAAATGCATAAAACTGCGGACAAACTGAAGACCCTAATTATGCTTTGGTTGATTATCATATTAATATTACCAATCATTTATTACACTATCAGATTTTAACTCCCCTAGTGGCTATATTTCCATGCTTTAGCAAGAAAGTCACAGAAGGTATTAAAATAAGGGTGACACAACTCCTGCAATATGCAAGCAGGAAATATCGAAAATGCCTTTTTTTTCTTTTACTGTTTTTAACCAAATAACTCATTTCTTTTTCTATCCTGTTTTTTTCCCTTAGTGCTTCCTTTAAAAGCATATTTTTATCCCCTTCGTTCTTTTTGGACAAGAAATCAACATAATGTACCTTTAACTATTTTCTTAAAAAATATATCTCAATTCCTCTCATAAGCCCAAAAACACAGGCAAGGGGACAGGGTAACACAGTTACTTCTAAAAATTACAAGGTGATATCTGTAGAGTGAAAATAGACCAAACTCCAAATAAGCACCTTTGGAATATAACATTAGACATGTAAACCAAGCACTAAAATAGCTGAAGCATAAGGTATTCATCAATGTAACCCAATTAAACTGCCACTAAACCTAATATCTTACCTAGCTTACGAGTTTTCTCTGCGAGAACACCTAGGTAACGTGTAACTCGATCAAGTTTAGCATTTGAATATTCCTGCAGATCACTAACATCTTGTCGTAACTCCAAGTAGTCTTCTTTTGCAAGCTGCCAAATTAATGTAAAAGGGGGAAATTGCATCAAACACAAGACACTGCAATGAAAAAATCCAGAATGCAAACCAAACCACTGCATATTAAAGCACACATGTGGCCCAAAATACTTTTTCTTTAGCCCCAAAAGAGCTTCTCACATTGAAGACATCATGCATTACCAATCATTATTTTAGACATCAGAAACAACCAGAGAAGTTCCAAATTTCCAAAAAAGGTTCTTTTATGAATCTTGAATGCATATGACAAGAGCCAAAAGCTTTATTCAAATTTCATGACCAACTGCAACCCCTAGTAATCACCTAATCCATGAGCTATCTTTTCAGATCAAGGAGGGACAACACAACTTGCACAAAACATAGAAGCTTATTTATTAATAGAGTCAAGAAAAAACTATCACATAAGAAAATCAGAACCCGGATCCCTTAATGTCTTCCAAATAAAAATAAGTCAGATCTATAAGTAGATATAAATTTTAGTTAGTACTCATTAGATTAATCAACTTTTGAATTGTCAGCAAGCTATTTCATTTGTTTGGTAATGAATCATGTTATTGTTGGTAATGAATTGTCAACAAGTTTTCCACAGCATTATCATAAAACCGTCATATAGGATGGACATGGAACTGCATCAAAGTCCATTCAAATATTTTTCAAACAGGCATATTAATCGACATTTGACACAATGCACAATCTTACAACAGTTCAAACCAACTCAATTTGGACCATCAAGCAGGATCCGAAGCTTGTGTAACAAGAATGTTACCATTATTAAACATTCTCAACTGACTAAGTTCTCCACATAAACAGCAATTAACATTCTCGTCCACTTTATCAAATTCTAACACTAAAAGGAAAAAGCTGATACATAAGTTATGGTTCATCAGAATCTGAAACATAAACTTTCCGTTAAAACTTAATACTGTTATGAGAACCTAATCTTCCAGAAAATGACATAAAAAAAGCATATCCTAGTTTTATTTGTTAAAGTTGATAGATTAAAACAAATTGCTTAAATACTGCATGCTAATTCGTAAAAATGAAGCTTAGCTAAAATCACATTAAGATACTAAAGCAACTTGACGAAAGTATTTACACGAAAATCTCACAATCCAAAGCCGATTTTCAGCGTTACCTTAAGTTTATCCTTCAAACGCAGCACCTTAGAAGCCAAAGCCTGCTTAGAAAACTCCGAAGAATATGGCGACACAACTGACGACGCTGCCGCGGATATCGAGTACCGTCGCATCAACGGCGCAACACTGGCCCCCGGTAGCTCCTCCGGTGAGGAGGGCGACGAACGCCGTGGCTCGAAGCCACTGACCTCCCAGTTCCATCGGTTATTGCTGGTATTCTTGTGCTCCCCCATCACCCCCAACCCAAGAGAGAAGAGAAGAAAATTTAAATCTAAAAGGAAAGGGTGTGGCGGTGGTATTAGTAGTAGAAGTAATGGGTTTGGCTAATTCTAAAACACTTGTTTAATTCTTATTTTTCCCAAACTTTATCAAAATGTACGTTTGAAATTGGTTTGGGACTCGCTCTCACGAGGGATTGTCCTTCTCCTCCCTCGCACCAGCGATAATAAATGCATTCAACTTTGGTGGGGCGTCCGAATTCTTCAGCTTTGTCCCTTCATAAATGAATTGGATCCACTTCGGATGAATTAACATTTATGTAATTTTGTTCAATCTCATAACATTTTATGTTTTCAAGTCGACAAATTTTATTTATAAATTTATCTAAAAGTTTAGATCACAAAATTTATAATAAGTTATATTAAAATTTTAAGTAGTATAAAATAATTTATCAATTGAAAATATAACAATATATATTTAAATTATATTTGAATTTAAATTTAGTAGGTTTAAAAAGTATAATTTAAAATAAATTTAAATATATAAATCCAAAATGTTGTCCATGATAACATAATAAATTTAAATATCTAATTTTAAAATTATTATTATTATTATTATTTAAAGATAAAGCAAATCCCGCCTCACCCTTTCAAACTTTCTTTTTTTTTGTCAAAAAAGAGGATTTCTTTATCTTATGAAAACTGAAAGGTTAATTTGTGGGTTTTAAAAAAAGTTTATTTTTTTAATTAGATAACTAAATATTATTACTTTTTTTATTGAATGGAAATGTACAAATTTTTATTAAAGAATAGGAATCAGTTGGAAAGCGATAATAGTGTGAACAGAAATTCAGGAAGATAAATCATATAAAAATGTTTGGGATGCAAAAAGTAATAATAGGGAGTGTTTGAAATGATTATGATGAGTGGTTGGTTTGAGCGTAGATGCAGACATTTTATTTATAATTTATCAAGAGAATGTTATAATTATATACGTAAATTTAACACATATTTAGAAATTTAATTATATAGATCAAGTAACAATCTCAGCATTTAAGAAATTTATTATCTTTAAAAATATTGAGTTTGAGTATGTATATGTAAGGATATTTAAATGTTTATTATTAATTTGTTGAAAATCTTTGAACAATTATTATCTTATAATTATCTCAAATTAATAAAAAAAATAACTAATTTAATTTGATCATAAAAATTAATAATTTAAATTTATTAAAAAATTAAAATGATTAGAAAATTGGCTAAGAAAATTCAAGCCCAAAAATTGAATGATAGAAGAAAATAATTAAAAAATTCTAAACATTTAGATTTACTCGAATCTAAAATTAAAAACAATATTCCAACTTTTATGTTGTGTATGGTATGGGTATGGATGCTGGTTTCTTCATTTTGCGAAGCTCTAGCTCCCTCTCATGCTATTTTTGGGTTCATTTTCACAGTTCAAAGAATATTTTAGGATAAACTATGTTCTTAGTCACCTCACTGTAGAATTTATCTGTGCATATAAAATATAAATTAAAATTTGAAGAAAACAATACATAACAAAAAAAGTTGAAATAATTAACAAAATGATTTTAGATTGATAAAAAAGTTACTGATATGGAGGAAAAATCGATGATCATCGGGGAACACAGTTTCTTATTTAATTTATTTGTTATCAAATAGAGGCAATACAACTTTGATTCTATTAAATTTTCACTTAACATCACAAATAAATATGTTTATAAAAAAATTAGCTAAATTTATTTGTTTTTGATACTTCAATATGAAAAAGCACAACAAAACTAGAGAGATTTGCAGGATACCCAGAGCAGACCACCAAACTTACCTACAATTTGGTAAATTCAGTAGCTGCGCCATCCTCGTCATATTGAACACAAAACTCAACTCAAACATTTTAGCCCAAAAGTAATGCTGAAAAGAATGAAATGATACGTGCACAAAGTTCTGGTATCACAATGCTGTGCAAATCTCGACAGTGTTTCACTCCTTTTTCGATTTCAAAAGAGCTCTCTTCCTCTGCCCCAGCATATAACGGTACATGTGCGGACTGCCTGCAACAACAATAGGCCCTTCGAATAAGCATGACCGAAGCAAGTAATCAAATCAAGCTGAGACGAAACGCTAAATGAGAAATGCTTAGTTCATACCTGGGAAATAGATCCCAAGGGCAAGAATTGCAGCGTAGAAGTTATCATATGAGAAATTCCACTTGTTTGGCATTCCTATGCAATACTTCTCAGAAGCCTGCCGATACAACAGTTTTATTCAATCGAGAAGCATGTGCTTTTCACCTTATTCCAATTTTATTGGAATGAAATGGTAAAAAAAAAGGTGAGGGGAGTTTAAGAAAATAGCGTATAGTATTTGAACATCCATCCTTTGCTCTTCAAAACATTTCTATGTGTATTTGGTCATACAACAATAAAATATCACCTGGCAACCATCAACAGGAAAACTCTATTTGTTTCATCGAATTATATAGTTGATTGAAATTATAGGTGTAGAACACATAAGCCGTGATATATTACCTTGATATATGGCAGGGAAAAATATATCAGGCCAACTTCACTGGTGATGCCAGTTGGATACAAAACCAAGAACGTGCTATACCTGTTCGAAAAAACAAAATGAACACCATGGATTTGACACACCCACTTAACAACAACAGAATACATGTATTATTTACCTAAGCCACAAATGCCATGAAGGTGCAAAACCAAAGGCCTCCTTCATGCCAAAGAATGAATAGCGAATAATCTGCGATTACAGGGAATTTATGAAAAATTAATTTCCTTTTGACATCTATAGCTACAAAAGAAATTCCCTTTGGCATCATCAATGTAGAGAGAAACATTAGCTCTCAACAAATGATGGCATGATGAGTAAAAATGATAACAAGATTCAATGCTAAGTTCCAAACTATGTTATTTGGACACAAGTGTGAATGTTGGACACAGGTATATACTTCGGACAGGGGTATGTTAAATAACTTAAAAGTTTTTCCATGTATGTGAAAGGTTATTGGAACGTCAGTGTTCAACAGGGTTACTTGCAAGGAAACAAGAGAGGTGATAGTTTTAAACACGAGAAAGACACAAATGCATTCAGAATAATCTCCCAATCCAGTTAGAAATAACAATCCAAGTAATCAATTTGACCAAACAACGAAAACAAACAAAGATTACAATTGGTAAAATCTTTCTATATAATTGTACTTTGAATACATAAAGAGAATATCTCAAACATAACAAAAGCATGATCAACTAATGAAGAGTAACATATTCATCGGTTTCAACTCATCACCAACTAAAGCCTGCTGATATTAACTACAAATTTGAAGGAAAAAACGGAAAAGAAAAACAGCAGAATTCCGTTAATTTTACCTCTGTAATGGCCCAGCTGATGACCAACGAAGTAACAAGAATGTGGGTTCGAATCTACAAATCGCGATCATCATTTTAACTTTTAATTAAAAATTAAGATAAAATAAAAGAACATAAGACTGTAAATTTAATTTTTCTTCTGTTACCTCAGGAAAACTCCACAAAATTCCCCATGTTAAATATAATCTTGATCCAATCTGTGGCAGAGTTGATGACACTGGTGACCTAACCAGACCTGCCAAAATTAACAAAACAAAATAAAATTCAAATCAGTGAATTATCTCGAGAACTATTATAGTTCTTTTCATCGTCAGAAGAAGAGAGCTTTTCATCATCATCAGAAGAGAGCGCTCTTCAATCACCTATTAAACCGTGAAGAATCTGTCAAATAAAAGAGAAACAAATTTAATTGAACTTAATACACTTGGAAATAAAATTAAGTGAAAGCATAAAGAACGGGGTGATCGAAGAAGCAAGAAAACCTCCAAAACGGCGGCGGATTGAGCTGCAAGGAGAGGCTTTTCGACTGCATTATAGACATGTTCATGACCTGATTCTTTCAAAGTCTTTAAAGCCAAAAACAGAACCTGAAACCTGCAAAAGAAAACCGAGAAGTTAAAAAATGGGATGATTAGGGGGGGGGAAGAAATTCTGAGATGAGGAAGCTTGCCAGCCGATGAAGACGGTCCAATTGTAGATGGAAAGGTAGAGCCGCCTGAGAACAGTAAAAGCGGAAGCCATGAAAAGTTGAAAACCCAAATTAAGAAAGCAGAGAGATTATTTGATTTCTTGGAAAAGGATAGCTATATAGTAGATCAGTAGAAGAATTGAATATTTATATAGACTAAGGAGGAACTGGGAGGATTAAAGGAAACTGGAAGAACATAGACCTAGAGAGAGAAAATTGTCATGAATTGGGTTGTTTCAAAATGGGGCAATTCAATCAAAATACTGTCAACTTCCCACGCAAATACTAATAATTAACAATGAATTAATATATGGAAATTCATTAACGATAACCGTTTTAGCATAAATATTTTAATTAATTATATAAGTATATATTTTAATTAATTCCATATTTTCATATATTATAAAAAAATCATATATGAAAATTAATAAAATTAAAAATATTATAAAACTATATCTACGAATTTTAATATGTCACACTACTTTTTTTAATAACAATTAATAGTGAACCTATCAATCTATCTCGATTATAAAAAAATTATTGTTCTTTTAAAAAATCTACGTTTAAACATTCACGTCTACGGGATATCTATTGTTAATGACTATAATTTTTTTTAAACAAACGTTATCCTATAATTATTCTAAATAAAATCAATCAAATAGTATAATATGACATCATCAATAATACATCAAGTAATGATATATTCCCAACCAAAGATTACAATATTACGTTTTAACAAAATAAATCAATAATATAATATAATATAATATTATTAATAATCTATTAAGTAATATTATTTTTTAAAATTCTATTTTCAAATATAACGTTTCATATCACGTATCTATTAAAAAGTTGATCATATATCTAGATTTGAAGTTCCACTTAAATTTTAAGAACTTTTATATAAAAGTTTCGAGTTAAGTTTATATATAAAAAAATAAGTTCATTTGAAATAAATGAATCATTGTCAAATGACTTCAAACATGAGTGATTGAAAATTTATTATTAAATAATTATAAATACTTATAATAAATACTATTTTGTGATCATCTTAAATTTAATAAAAAATCATTTAAAATGTGGATTGGGTTTAAACTTCAACATTTAAAATTCAATAGTTAAATTTATTATTATTTTAATAAAATGAAAAATAAAAAACAAATTTAAAATGGATATTTCTCATTCTAAACTTCAATAAATATGAAATATATTAATAGCATACGCAGATCTGATGTGACTTAGTTTTATCCTTACAGTAAGGAGAGAGAGAGGTGTGGTCAGGGATGTCTCCGGTTTGACATTATTTATATACGTTTAAAAAAATATATTATCGAAAATATTAATATTTTTAATATTTTTAATAAAATATTATTTAAAATATTATTTTTATCAAAAATATTAATATTAGACGTTACTTAAAATATTTAAAATTTTCGGTAAAACTTTACTTAAAATGTTTAATATTTTCGGTAAAACGTTGCCTAAAACATTATTTTTTTCTATTGAAAATTAGTTAGTAAAATTAATATTTTCAATAAAAAAAATATTTTAAATAATACTTTATTAAAAATATTAAAAAATATTAATATTTTCGGTAAGACATTTCTTTAATCGTATATTTAAACTGACGAACAACAAAACTTTCCGGTGTAATCAAGCACGCTAGATGAAACTTTGAATGGTATTTACACATTTATTTTCTTTAAACTATTCTGGATTTATTTAGCTAGCATTTAATGACATTTTCGAGATTTACATGTATATAATATAATTTTTCATTTAACGACATTTATTTTCATTTTTCTTAAAATATTTTTAGTCCGTCGTTCCATTTTGAAATTCCCCGAATATCATTAATCATTTACGAAATGCAGTTGGAAGATTGGTGAGCTGCTCAACTGTCACGTGCTTACCCCCTCATATAATAATATTATTTGTTTTCGTGTTATATTTATATGAACAGACAGATAATCTTATATTAAAAATATTTTTTTTAGAATTTATGTTAAAAAAATAAAGTTATAAAATTTAAAGTGTATGGAATTAAGTTATCATTAAAACTATAAACAGAAATTTAAATTATATAAAAAAATTAATTTTTTCAAGAATTTCAACATCTTAGCTTTATTCTTATATATTGATACTAGTTTAGAGAAAATAACCTCAGTGATTAAAAATCCCAGATAATATACTATTTTGACCAATTTTTTTGGATTTGCGAAAATGACTAACAAAATCGCAATGCGATCTCTAATTCGCAATGTGATCTCTAATTCGCATTGCGATCTCCACTATCGCAAATTCGCATTGCGATTTTCCATTTCGCGTTGCGATAGTTGAAAATCGCGTTGCGATTTTCCATTTCGCGTTGCGATAGTTGAAAATCGCGTTACGATTTTTCATTTCGCGTCGCGATTTTACAAATTCGTTGCGATAGTCTACAGTTGTCGTTGCGAAAATTCGTTGTGATAGTTAAAAAACAAAGATTTTGTTTTTTAAGAATTTTTTCTAAAAAGATAGTATCCGCGCGGGACGTGTCGAAGACACGTATGACCACGACCACGACCACGACCACGACCCGACCCGAGACGAGACGAGACGGACGGCGGCGGAGGCGCGCGAGAGTCCCCCTTGTTCTCTATCAATCAACAAGAAAGTGAGAAAGTCAAGCCTTAAATACCATTCCCAATAGTGTTTCCAATACTATGTGGGATTTGAGCATTACCAACACTTGATCCCAATACTATGTGAGATTGAGCCTTAAATAATGATATTATTTTTGAATGTTTTGCTTAAAATTACAATAATCGCGATTGATTGTAGATTGATTTTTAATTATGACATATTTAATCGTATAATACTAATGCAATTGGTTGCTGATTCAGTTGTTTTAAGGTGCATGCTTGTTAATGTTTCCTGAATAAACACATTGTATTGGAAACAAGTGTTGGTAATACTCAATCCCACATAGTATTGGAAACACTAGTGGGAATGGTATTTAAGGCTTGGCTTTTCCACTTCCTTGTTGAGTGATAGAGAATAATGGGGACTCTCGCGCGCTGCCGCCGCCGTCCGTCTCGTGTCGTGTCGTGGTCGTACGTGTCTTCGACACGTCCGCGCGGATACTATCTTTTTAGAGAAAATTCTTAAGAAACAAAATCTTTTTTTTTAACTATCGCAACGAATTTGGAAAATCGCAACGACAACGCGATTTTCAACTATTGCAACGCGAAATGCAACGCGAATTTGCGATAGTAGATATCGCAATGCGAATTAGAGATCGCATTGCGATTTTGTTGGTCATTTTCGTAAATCTAAAAAAAATAGTCAAAATCGTATATTATCTAGGATTTTTGGTCACTGAGGTTATTTTCTCATTAGTTTATACCCATCTTAACCAAAATTGAATTGTATGTTATTTTATTGGTTTTGATTATTGTATATATATATATATATATATATATACTCGCTTTAAATTTAAATTTATTTTTGCAAGAATCAAGTCATATTAGTGATTAAAATATTATTATTATTTTTAGATTTTTTGGATTTGAGTATCACATATTTAAAGATATATGAGCGTTTAATGTTAAATGATTGAGAGCCTATAAACATATACTACATTGTATTTAAATTGTTTTATATTTTTCTTCATTTTTTAATGGTTGTTTACTTTTTAAAAAAAATATTAAATCATTATGGTATTACATATTAACATGAATATAAAAAATTGATTTCAGGACGTAATGTAGTAATAAAAAAAAGTATACCTACTTTAGCTACCCATAAAGTGATAAAACTCATAATGTGGGTTCACATGATTCAAATTACACGTGTGAAGCGGCGCATTTACATCTTTTATCTGTAATATTTCTTTTTTAACACCCGTTGATTAATATTTATCGAAATAGCACCATTTGGTTGACGTGGCGCAAATGTGCATCCTCGGGGACGTGCTTTCCCGGGATTCTGATGACTTGGATGCCACGTGTGGAATGCGCATCCCCAGGGACGCGCCTTCCATTAAATGTCATAAATACCCCATTCATTTTTCCCTTACTACCCCTCCTCCTCTATATAAACCACCTTAACCCTCCCTCATTCTTCACACCAAAATCATCTTCTCATCTCTTATATAACTCAAATTTTCCAACAAATTAAAAGTAAGACTAAATTGATAAAATATGTAACTATTGAAGATTAAATGTGTAATTATACTAATTTTATTGACTTATGCATCAATATTTTCTTTAAATATTGATAACAAATGACTAGATTGATAACATTTAAATAATTAATTGATAAAATTAATAGATCGATAATAAAAAAATAATAAATATATAACAATACGTGTAATATTATAATTTCATACATTTAAAAAATACATTCAATAATTCTTAAATTATAATTGAAACACTTTACATAACATATTAATTATTTATAATAATAATAAAAATAAAATCTTTATTATTAAAAGAAGTACCAACGTGGCATCTGACTCAGCATAACCCAAATGGAAGGCGCGTCCCCGGGAATGCGTCTTCCACACGTGGCATCCGAGTCATCAGAATCCCGTAAAAGCGCTTTTCCAGGAATGCGCCTTTGTGCCACGTCAGCCGAAAGGGTACTACTTCAAAAAAATATTAATCAATAGATGTTAAAAAAAAATATTACAGATAAAATGTGTCAATTAAGTAAGTACGCCGTGTGAAGCTAACTGAAACGTTGATTACGGTGGGAAAGTTACATGTCATTTTCAAATTATGAATGTAACTTATGATATGCAATTTAAGAATAAAATATACAACTTAATATCCATAACACACCATGAATCGATAATAGATGGATAGCCATCCTACTGTGCTGCCCATGCATATGTAGTACCACACCAAATGAGAATGATTTTCAATATTATGTTTATTTGATAATTTTTAAATAATTACATGTCATTTTTTTAAAATTAAAAAAAATCGTGTTGAAATTTATGTATGATGATAAACAAATAAACAATAAAATTTATTTTTAATAAAATATTAAATAAAAATTCATTTGTCTTTTGATAAAATTATTTAATTATGCTCAAATAATTTTTTATTATTTAATTATGTTCAAATATAATAGTTTTTTACTTATCTTTTAA